AATATTTTTATTTTTATAGTAATATCGTTTTTTGTTTTTGGTACCAGGGATTGAAGGCAGAGTTGCTTAACCACTGAGTCACCTCCCCAGCACTTTTTTTATGCTTTTAGACAGGGTCTTGCTAAGTCCTTGAGGTTGCTCTCAAACTTGTAATCCTCCTGCATCCTGAGTTGCTGGGATTACAGGTGTTTATGGCAATTTAGTCTTTTTTCATTAGTTCAATAAAAATTGTTCTTTAAAACAGGACACAATCAGAAACACAGGTTATATTACGAAGGATTTGACTAGAATGTCATATTTTCAGATATGACCAGATGGCTTTAAGGAACTGAGGTGAATATTACAGAGCCAATCAAACCCCAGTTGGAAAAACTGGCTTGAAACCTTGAATATATGGTTCATGTGGTTGTCTTATAGGTGGCTAAATAATGTCACTTCCTGTCAAGCCCAATAATTTCAGACTATTTAGGGGAATCTCAGTTGTCAGGAATTCACCCAAGTGAAATTTGATGATGACTCCTTGTCTTGGCTTCTTTGTCTTAAGAGTCCTTTAAAAGTCTTAATGTGAGAGGCTGGGGATGTGGCTCAAACGGTAGCGTGCTCGCCTGGCATGCGTGCGGCCCAGGTTCGATCCTCAGCACCACATACACACAAAGATGTTGTGTCCGCCAAATACTAAAAAAAATAATTATTAAAATTCTCTCTCTCTCTCTCTCTCTCCCCCTCTCTCTCACTCTTTAAAAAAAAAAGTCTTAATGTGAGATTCCTTATAAAAAGTTTCAGCAACACAAATTTAAAGATGATCATAATTCTTGCCAAACTTACATAAATAATCAGGTCCATTTTATTGAAACTAAAAATTATTTTTAAAACAAATCAGTCTTATTCTGATTATCTTTGTTAGAAAGGGAGGTGATTATAGAGAGAAAAATTATGCTTCATAAGAAAATTATAGTGCATCTATTATTAGTCTTTCCTCATTTGGAGGGTTTATTTTATACCCTGGTCTTAAATAAATTACCCAATGTTAGTTATTTTGTTATAGCAACACAAAATGGACTAATACAGAAAATTGATACCAAGGAATTGGGGTAGTTGCTATCATAAAACTTGAAAATATAGAAGCTGCCTTGAAGCTGGGTAACAAACAGAGGTTGGAAAAGATTGGAAGAACTGACTAGAAAGAGACTACAATGCCAAGAGTATTATGGGTGATTCTGGGAAGGGCTCAGAAAACAAGAAGAAAGGAGCTAAAACATTTTAGAGATTAGAAAAGTGATTACTACCAGAATGCTGATGAAAATAAGTAGTATTCTATTTAAATTTGAAAAAAAAGGACGTACATTTCAAACTTGCAGAGAAAACCTTAGCCAAAGTGTCTCTATGCCTATGATTTTGTGGAAGGCTAAATTTAAGAGTGGTGAAATTGAATCTTTGGCAGAAGGGTTAGCTGAACAACAAAGTATACAGGCTGCTGCATGGTTATTATTGGCCATTTTCAGTGAGATTTATAATGAGACTATATGGAAAATTTATAGCCTGGAGAAAATGTTCAGGGAAACAAATGAGGGTGGGAATGAACAACCGCTTTCTAAAGATTAGCACAGGGAGTCAGGTGCTAATATTCAAGACAATGGGAAAAAGGCCTCAAGGATATCTCAGAAATTTTTGAGGCTGCCTTTTCTCATCACAGCCCAGATGTGTAAAAGGGCAGGATATTTTTGGGAAACAGGCACAGTGTGATCTCCACAGGCTTGCTGCCCAGGGATACCATGGCATTCTGCTCCCTGCTTTCTAGTGGAGTGCTCCATAGACCCTGCAGCCATGGTTTAAGCAGGCCCAGGCATAACTTTTGCCACTGCTCCAAAGGAAGCAAGTGGCTAACCTTAGTGGTATCTATATAGATGCTGAAACAGGAATAGCATTATGTGGTCATTGTGGCTTCTACCAAGATTTCAAAGGGAATCTGGTGGACAAGGCAGAGGCCAGTGGCAGGGGCTGAACTGCTATAGATTCTCCACTAGAATGCCTAGAGCTGTGGGAGTGGGACTGCCACTTGAGACCCCAGAAAGTTAGTGTCACCAGCATCACACAATGCCTGTGTGGGAAAACCACCAGTACCAGTTGCATCACAGCCATGCATACTGCAACTTAGCAAAGCCAAGGAAGCAGGGTTACCCAAGGTCTTGGGAACCTACCTCCTTCCATAATGTATATAGGATACCAGAGAAGAGTTTTAGGATTTATTATCTGTCCTGCTGGGTTTTACTCTTGCTTTGGGACCATTACTCCTTCCTACTTCCTCATTCCTCCTTTTTGGAATGGGAATTTTTATCTTATCCTTGTCATTGTGTCTTGGAAGTAGTTTATATATTTTGCAGAAATGGGCACTGACCCCAGGACCTCAATCTTGCTAGCCAGGCAAATGCTCTATACTGAGCTACACCCCAATTCTGATATCTTGTTTTTGATTTTACAGGCTCACAAGTGATTTCCCTTGTCTTAGATGAAACTTTGAATTTGATGTCAGAATCAAATTAAATTTTGGTACTGTTTACATGGAATGAATATATTTTACATTATAAGAGGGGCATTAATCTTGGGGGCCAGGGGTTGAATGCTATAGTTTGGATGTAGTTTGAGTGTCCCCCAAAGTTTCATATGCTGGAAGCTTGGTCCCAATGTGGCAGTTTTGGGAGTTGGTAGAATCTTTGAATGGTGGGGACTGGTAGGTGCTAATTAGAAGATGGGAGTTCTGCCCTTGTGAAGGGATTGATGCTTTTCTCATGGGAGTATATTCTTGGTCTTGCAGGATGAAGCTACCATACATACGTGGCCCCCTTCTTCACCCAATAATTTCCCTTCCAACTTCTTTGCCATGTTATGAATGTAGCTGAGGTTGCAGGGCAGGTTGGGGAGGGCTTACCATAGTCTGAACAGATAGGGCTACCCAATCAATCTTGGACTTTCACTATGCAAAAATGTTAGGTAAATGAACCTCTTTTATTAAGTACGCAGTGCCGATAATTGTTATAGCAACACAAAACAGACTAATACAATCAAATTGTTCTGTCGCCTCTATTTTCTCCTCTACTAAAATAATGATATATAAGGTTCCTTGAGTATTTGTTACTATTAATTTCAGTAGCATACTGTGTAGCAGGCATGATGTTAAGCCATTTATGTTTATCCATTCATTCTCAATACAATGCCACTGAAGACAGTTATCTTCTTTAGAGAAGGAAACTGAAACTTATAAATTAAGCAGTATCCCCAAGTTAACAAGTTAGAATACAAATCCAGGTCTATTGGACTCCAAATGTTATACATATTAACTGAAATAAATCAGGGCCGAGTGAGGCATGGTCACAAGTACTTTTAGTCCCAACTACTGGGAGGATCTCTTGAGCCAAGGAGTTCAAGCCCAACCTGGACAACATAGTGGGCTATTTCCAAACCAGTTTGACCTCCCAAGTGCAAGTTTAGAGTGAAAGCCACGATCAATATTGAATAATAAGCACAATTAGCAAATTAGGGGCAGAGTTAACTGCTTTTTCATGTCAATTAATATAACCACTCATATTACAAATAAGAAAATGTAGTGTCAAAGGGTCTGTGAGTTACAAAACCATAGCTTGTTCCACTAGGTACCTTGTTGCCTCCCATTAGGGTTCACCTAAGGTAAAATGCCTCCAAGTCACTGGTCAAAAATTGATAAGTTATTAAAAACTCTCAATTTGAGAAGTATTTAAAACTCATCTAGTTTTGAATCTCTCCCCTTACCTCCTTCCTTTCTATTTTCTTTTCTTCTCCCCCATATCTCTCCTTACTTTTCTTTTCTTTCCTGGGGATTGAATCCAGGGGGACTTTAACACTGAGTACATCCCCAGTCCTTTTTATGTTTTGAGACACGATCTCACTAAGTTGCTGAGGCTTGCCTGAAACTTGTGATCCTCCTGACTCAGCCTCTATTTATTCTTTAAATATTATTTTTAGTTGTAGATGGACATAATACCTTTCTTTATTTATTTTATGTGGTGCTGAAGATTGAACCCAGTGCTTCACACATGCTAGGCAAATGTTACCACTGAGCCATGACCCTGGCCCTCTATTATTTTTTCTGAGACAAGTTTTCACTGTGTTGCCCAGGCTGGCATAGAATTCCAGAAAGCCTCCTGCCTCAGCCATCTAAATAGATGGAACTACAGACATGTTCCACCACACCCTGAAACTTGAATATTTCTGACAGGCCTATTACTCTTCCTTTAGGGCTCTTTGCATATGCATATACATACTTATATATAATTATCAAATAAGCATGTGATTTGACACAGTCAAATGACAAGTCATTGCAGACTGATGAATGAGAAGTGAGGGAGGGAAATTTCCAAATGTACATTTTTCTAAGGAGAACCATAATACGAAAGGAAATACTGCTTCATAAGTTTGTACCTGGGAGATTATGAAAGAAGCACTGGGTTCAATTTCACGTATGATATGTAAAAAGTATACATATAAATCAAAATGATGAATTTTTTCTAGATATATTTGGACTATTATGCATACAGTACATATGATAGTCAATATGGCCTGGAATTTTCCCCCATGAGCTGCAGAGTAAAGCAGACCTAGGTTTGGATCTAAGATTCATAATTTACTAGCTATGTGACTCTAGTAAACTCTTTATATTCATCCTGATCCTCAAATTTTCTCTGTAAAGTGGAGATAGTAATAGACCTATCTTACAGACTATCGTGTGTGTTAAAAATTTCACAGTAGGTTACAATTATGATTCATTTGCAAGTGTAGAGGAGTCAAACTGGAAATCTGTTGGACCTGTAAATCAAAATGTAACACATGGCTTAGTTTTGTTTGTTTTAGGCCAGAATAGTCCATAGGATTTAATTTCCTAAATCTGCTAAATTATATTTGATAAATAAATAATCATTTTAAACCAGGTAATAGCAGTGACTATGACAGCATTTTGATAAGATAACATACTCATTTAACACAGCCTTTATTTTCTGTTTCAAAACAAAATTTCCAGGAAACAAAACAAAATACTTAACAATGGTTGGGTACAAATGAAATAAAAATCACAGTTTCAAAGAACCAAAGTCAGACAACTGCTGAAAGGCCGATCACTTGGTTTACCCAAAAAAAAAGTTAATGTCATAAAGGATTAAAATTAAGTTTAACAACATTCTATATAATGCTACATTCCCCAATTAAGAAAGGAGAATTCACAAATACAACTAAATGTTAAGTGTAGAGAAGTGGTGGAAATTCTGCATACTTCATAGTAAATTATGCATGAAAGTTTATTAATTGCATAAACTTCCTGAGTGGCTCCCATGCTGCACTAGGTCTACATGCTTAATATTCATATCAAACAAATTACAGCTTTAAGTGATTGAGCATGACAGACCTTGAACAACTGCACTTTCCGATTAGTCACTATATCTGCTGAGGGTATGTTCTGGACCACAAATCTCAACCTCAAACCTTAAGTTATAGTGGAAAAAGAAATGCAACTTAAAAAACTAGAAGGATGACAAGTACACATTTAGAAGTTTATTTTACACTGGCACATTTTTTTTTTCCTCAGAGCCGAGTTTCTATCTTCCCTTCTTGCTTGACTTTTAGCCTTTCTATTTGAGTTTTTTTTTTTAATTAAAAGAAAACCTTCTAGAATTGGAGCTGGTGGTTTGCACACTTTTCTAGCTATCTCACTTGAAAATAACTTTAGTGTAACCTAGTTACTACCCCAGGCCTTTTCATATGTTGGTTGTCAATGTTCCTGACCAATGTTTGTGTTCATCCTTCTCATAAAAAGACTATTTCCAGGGTGACTTGCAAGCACTTGGCTCCATAAAAATTTCATACTTATTCCACTTTAAAGGATCTTACCAAGTTTGAGTGTTATCATTTTATAATCTGGATTTTAAAAAAATTGAATCCTAGAAATTACATTCAGTAAATCAAAGGCCTTTTCTGTGCACACACACCCCCTTTTCTAGTCTTCTAAACATGGGGAGGGAAAACAAATCCCCAATAAAATAACAGATTAAAAAAATAATCTATTCTAAAAAATGGCCTGCATACCACCTCATGGCCCAAGTTTTTCTGAACCAAACAGAAGATGAAGTAACTGAAATCTCAAACTGATGGTAAATATACCTCAGGAATGTAGTTATGCATGATGACTGAAATTACAATTTTTACTAATATTAAATATGCTGTAGTGTTACACAGTAAACATGTGAAACAAGGAAAATCTGGTTACAAACATTTGCTGAGATTTTTTGGGAAAAAGGAATGCATCATTTTTATCACTCAGAAAATACAGCAAGGAATAAAGTCAATGCCTCCATAAACTTTAGAGATTGGATAGTTATATACAACCCTTACCACCAATTATAATTCAACTCAAATGCATTCAACCATTGTAAAGTAACAAAATATCACGCAAATACTTGGCAGTACACTAATACGTTAAATGACAGGTCATTGCTGTAGGATTTGTCAAATATTTCACTGTGGTAGTTAAAGCAATTTCAACCCATAGCCCTTTAGGCACAGAGACGAGAAATGCATCTCTAGTAAAAAATGCAAAGTTACAGGCACTGGACTAATTTAGGTACTTTTAAACCATTTGTTTATTTTTAAACTAATTCCTACAACTAAGTCCTATTATCACCACCACTTAGATTTAGTTTTCTGCTCTCCATCCCCAAATCCCCTAAGCTTATTTCACATAGGCACATGGCTCTCATCACTTAAACACAGATTGGTGGCTGAGTGATGATCTCTCTCATCTCAAACTCATGGTTAGTGCTGGGACAAAGAGGCAAGCCAGATTCATAATCTGAAAGAATACTGAGAATCAAGGCAAAAATGCAAGTTTCACAGGCAGTGTTTACTTGTGCACCCAAAACAGCACTGAAACGAGGTAGATAAACAAAAGTAACTGGATTAGAATTAAATTTGGGGTTCTAAGATGATACATCCATCATACTGTACATAACACTCTAAACTCAATCCAAAAATCACAGCGGAAAAGTGCCTTTTAAACTTTCACAGATAATTTTGCTGTCAAACCATGAGATTTCATGCTTGATATAAAACTGACAAGGAAGGGAAGAAAAACAGAATGGATATTTGTTATATTACAGCAAATTACCTTAAATAGAGATTCAAGACTGCTACAAATATACATAGGGTTATTTACTTTAGATTTACACCAATACTGGTTTCATATTCTTATGATCTTACACCCAACTTCACAAACATAGCAGCAGGTACTTCATGATGAAATACTCACATTGCCACATATGGAGATACAGTACTGTTCATCAGACTTGCACTTTGAGAAGTAAACATGGTGGCTGGACATACAGACTATCCCCCCAAATAAACTTTACAAGCACAATGGTTAAGCACAACCTTTTTCTCTTCTACAAGAAAGAAAATGAAAAGGACAGGTTTGTGTGTTTTTGGAAATGAATAGAAGGCCTTTTTTATATAGTAGGCTCTTTGTTAAGTAAGAAGGGAATTTCTGAGCTTTACCTCAAGAATTAATTATTTCTAGGAAGAAAAAGTACCTCAGGCAAGGATGAAAACAGCACTATTATATGACTTAGTAAAATTATGAAATAATGCAAAACCCCTAGATAGAAAATTAGCCAATATTTACAGTCAAAGTGACTATAATCTCATTTAAGTAATGGGAAATAGTAAATAAAAACCCACAGCGATGTGAATAACATTGTTTTCTTCATTTCTGCACAAACTCACTTTTTTTCTGTAGTTTTAAATTTACACTCACGTTATATATACACAACGTATATATAACATATATGTTAATCCAGCTACTGCAGTCAGCATGGAGACAGCAGTACACTATTCACCATCTTCAAACTTTAGAAGACTACATTTCTTTCCAGCAAAACCTGAAAAGATTCTAAATATTACAAGGCACTGCAAAAGTCTGCAGGCAAACAAGAATGATGAATTATACATAAAACAGAGGTGGTGACAAAAATGCAAGACATATGATATAGAGCAGCCATTAATAAATGTAATTGTACATGTCATCCACGGATCTTTTTTTTTTTTTAATCCTGGGGTACATTGTTTAAAAAGAGAACTAGAGAAGAAGAGGTCTTAAAATCTATAGTACTTTCACTTCATAGGTTGTATGTCTCAATGTAATTACACAATGCCAACTTTTATAATAAAACACAAATAGTTTTAAAGAATTATGGACTTTAGGAGCATTGTTTTTGTACAAATGGAAAACACTGCAGTGTAAGCATTTGCAGTGCACTAATGTCCTAAAATCACTTCAAATTGCAAACCAATACTGTAGAAGAAATTTGTAGACTCTGTACGTAAGATTTGGAAAGAAATCGTTTCATAAAACATCCTTATCCAAAACAGGATGTTTAATGAAAAGAAACTCACTCTTATCAACAGCAATTCTTAAAATGCTGCCTTAGATGCCCCAAGTAATAGTGACAGAATCTTTGTGGTAGTGGGTGTGATCCTCAGGTAACCAAATAAGACATATTTTTATTTTATAAAGGATACTAAATGTTACAAAGTAGACTGTGCCAAAAAAAAAAAAAAGAGAGAGAGAGAGACGTACACCCATTGTTTTTCTCATTACCTGGCAAGCCCATGGGGTACAATTTTTAGAGGATTATGGTGGAAAATCTTAACAGAGATCTTGAGTGAAATTTTGGAATGTTTACCAGTAGACGGAACTCCTAATTAGGTAAAGATGTACTAGAAATGACCTTGAAATCTTTGGAGTGGAAGGTAAATAGTTTGAACATGTATAACTGGGAGTTGAAAATACCATTAAAGAATTTTATTTGGGTTTCACAGACTGAGCATTAGGTAACCTTGTGACCAGCCTTTAAAATTATTATATTTAACCTTCTTAAAAACCAAAGGTGTACATTTTGACATTGCCTCCCTTCCTCCTAAAACTGGATAAAACCCAGTAAAGTGCAACTTGACAGTGATCTCTCTCAGATTCTAAAGAGGCTGCCAAACTCATCTAAGATCTAAAATCATCTAAGACACTATAGATACTAATAAGAAATTATAACAACTAAAAATGAAATCCAAAAAATCTAAGAGCAAATTAAATAGTATTCTTCTAGGGTCTATTATCTCACTGCAGGACAGTGTATACCCCACATCTCTTAGAACCCTGTAAAGCCAGTGTTTCATGTGTAAGTCTCAAAACCTACAAAACCTACTGTGTCAAGTAAATTTCACTTCAGAAGAATGGATCGATAGAGGTGTACCTTGAATCCCCTATTAGGAATACAAGGATTCTCCCTAAATGAGATTCATATCAGCTGCAATATATCCCTTGCGAAAGAATGCAAGCCAAACCAATGCCTCTCAGATGCTCAAAACCAATATAGTGTGCACATGAGAAACAAAGAGATAGCTGCTTTGAATTATTACCGAAATCCTAAAGCAGCTATAATATCTGTAGAATCTAGGAACTGTTACAGTTCTGTTTTTTCCTTTCCCTCCGCCTCACTCAAAACAAGGCTTCACTCCTACTGCTGTGATGACGGGAAGAAAATCACATTAAAAAGGGCTCATGTTCTGTACTGGTTGATAAAGTTATCATAAATTTAAATACCAAAAAATTTCCTGCAGCAAGTTACCCTGCCTTCTATGAAAGGTAAACCTAAGATAAACACGTGAAGAAACCCACAAGACTCTGGCTATTGGAGGGTCTCACTTCACCCATGCTTGGGGATAATCAATCTAGGTAATTTTTATACATTTTAAAGTAAAATATCCAGCTGCAGATAGCAGCAGTAAAAAATGGGGGCTTCTCAGCAATGTGTGGAAAGTGTCCTGGAAATGGTAATGCTCAGGCTGAGCTTATTAAAGCATTCTGAAGAGTATTTTTTTTTTTAAAAATCAAGTATCAAAGAGGATAGGATTGAAGTGAAAAACATTTCTGTGTGCAGTGTACTTTGTGCACATTGCACATTTCTACAGAATGATGAGCTATATCAAATACCACATTGTAACAACAAAAAATACAGTTGAAAGTAAACTCAAATGAGGGAAAATATGGCAGAACCCAAGGAGAAGAAACTTTTATATCTTAGGTATCCTGAAAATAATTCTGAAAAAATCTCCCTTTTTTTCATCATCTACTCTGATTCACTTGGGACCAGGAGGGATTGTAGCAGGATTCTGCACTGGTGGAGCTGGAAATGCCTGCAAATTCATCCCCGGCTGAAACGGTCCCCCAGATTGGGTAGGAATTACTATAGACTGTTGTGTTGTCCCTGAAATTCCTACCCACTGTACTGGATACCCTGCACCCCCCACAGCATTATACTGACAAACATGGGGCATTCCATATGATGATAATGGCCCAGGAAATGAAGGGAGTGGCAGTCCTTGGGGCAAGGAGGTTGGGACAGCTCCACGAATTTGGGACAGAGAAGAAATCCATGTTGATGTGTAGCCCATAGTAGATGGAGTATTCTAAGAAAAAACAAAAATAAAAACAAAAGATCAGTTTATTTGTTTATATGCTTTTATCAATCTATATTCCTTCCTATTCTTTTTGGCTTACTACTCCTGTTAATACTTTGAGTGGTACCATTTTGGGAGCAACTTTTCTTCATGTTAAGCATAGTTACATACCTTATTTCGGTTCATCTTCATAACTGCCCGGCTTTTGCAGGGTAGGCATTTTCAGATGAGGAAACAGAATCTCAAAACTGGTAACTCCAAGCAACAGCACTAAGCACGTTAATAGTGAAGTGGTGACTGGAACTCAGTTCCAACTAACTGCAAGGCCCATACTAAATTCCCATTCAGTTTCCTCCTTTCCTCATGTTAGCACTATCCTTCAATTCTTACTTCCTTTTGTCAGTCCTCAGCATGACTTCATATAGTGCTATAGGCGAGAATAGCCCATCTTACTATATAATTCTCTGGAGACAGGAGCATGGTTTAGTATAACATTAGAAGAAAAACCTAGCATATAGTGGGTGCTCAATAAATGTCGTCTTCCTACCCACTTCTATTCACTATCTTTTTTAAAAAAATATTTTTTAGTCATCAATGGACCTTTATTTTATTTATTTATATGTGGTGCTGAGGATCCAATCCAGTGCCTCACACATGTTAGGCAGGTGCTCTACCACTGCACTACAACCCCATCCCTCTATTCACTATCTTAAAGTCTGACATTTTTGTTATAGAAGACAATGAAATAATTATATTTTTGGCAGTATTAATAAATATATTCCTGCCTGATTCTTCTTATACTGTATTGTGACTATTCACAAGTATAGAGATTATAGAAATCTCATGCACATGGAAATAATAATTCTATTGGATGTAAGCAATTCTCTTATCAGTCTCATGCTTAGATCTTGTAAACTGAATTATCAATCTAAAACAAAACTTTCAACTAAGAAACTTTCAACTTAGGGTAAAGGGTATTAAAGGGTATTAGTTTAACTCAAAAATGAATGACAGGGGATGGGGTTGTGGCTCAGCAGTAGAGTGCTCGCCTAGCATGTGCAAGGCGCTGGGTTCAATCCTTAGCAACACATAAAAATAAATAAATAAAGGTAAAAATGAGGGGCTGGGGTTGTGGCTCAGTGGTAGAGCACTTGCCTAGCGTGTGCAGGGGCCCTGGGTTTGATCCTCAGCACCACATAAAAATAAATAAAGAAAATAAAGGTATTGTGTAATAAAAAAGAAATTTAAAAAAATAAAATTCATCTTTTGAGGTGAAAAAACATTGATTTGAAGTTCAGCCATCCCTTGTTTATATCAGTGTTTTCCTTCTGTTAAAGTAAATTTAATGGTAATGCTTCAAAACAGCATATACTGTATGATCACATTTTTAAAAATATTTTTTAGTTGTAGATGGATACAATAACTTTATTTTATTTACTTATTTTTTATGTGGTGCTGAGTATCAATCCCAGTGCCTCACATGTGGTAGGCAAGCACTCTACCACTTAGCTATGACCCCAACCCCAAAAGTATGATCACGTTTTTTATAAAGTTGTTTCCATGTATCCATATTTAGACAGAAAGAAATCTGAAATGATGTTTTAAAGTTGATGACAACTATTTCTAGGTGGTAAGATATGATGGTGATATTTTAAAACTTGTACTTTTCTATGGTAAGTATTATTTTATAAGTAATAAAAAGCTTCCATTCACAAAGTATTCAGAAGGTCTCTCACTGGCAGTACAAATGCATTTATGTCTTGATTTGCCTCTAAAGGCTTACAAATTTTATAATGGTGATACTATCTGTGTGTTAACAGGAGCCAGGAATAAGATGAAAACACAGAGCCCACAAGCAATACATTGCCTACTAGTTTGCAAAATAAAGGATTTTAAAATAGTTTTTTCAAAATTAACAATAAATACATTTTCATACTTTCTTTACTGAACTGTTTAATGATTATATATGCACACATATGCATGTACACAAACATAACACCCACATATATCTCTTTTAATTATGAGGGATGAGATTCTAAGCCTTGATTCATATTTTAACAGATTCACTTATTTTGAAAAAAAAGTTACCTTAAAAATTCAAACAGAAAAATTCAAAATAAAATAAGGCCAATATTCTACCATCTAGCATATTCCTTATAGGTTTTCATATTTTTCTATGCATGTAAACATATCAAATGTGTATGATTTTTAAAATAAATTATACTATATATGCTCTTTAATAAGCATGTATTCTTCCCACTGCAGAATACATTATAGACATATTTCTCCATTTTAATTGCATGTACACCTAAGGCCACTGGGTTTCCATTCCATAAACTCAACAAACCTCTTATAATATTTTAGCTTAAGCACCTTTAAAATTAATTCTAATACTAGACAAAGATAGTTAACTTAATGAGCTTTACGAATATTGACATGCAACATAGGATAGCTTGCCTCAAAATGCAAACTCTTCTTGTGGCACCAGATTGAATTAACACTCATTCCAGATGCTTTCTTTTTTGATGTTTATTTGGTTGATTTTAACATAGAACAGCCTAAAAGGATCAGCAAAGCGTGGCCTGCCACTGCTTTTCATACAGCACAATTTAATGGAAAAAGCCAAACCCATTTTTTACATGTTGTATAAGGCTGTTTTTGCACTACAACAAACTGGACTAATTGGAACAGCATGGCCTGCAAAACCTAAAATATTGACTAGCTTTTCCCCTTATAAAAGCTTGCTGACCCTTGATCTAAAAGATAATTTGCTCAAAGATATGAAAAATCTAGACAAGGTTAAAAGTATCTATGTTTTCAAGTCATATCTCTTTTTCACACTATCTATAATCATAGGCCTAAGTATATCCACATTTATGATTTTAGTTCTCATAAATAAAGAGGATTAAGTATAAAAAACTTACTTCATATGCCTTGTTCCAGTTTTCTGCCTCTATTTTTTGTTGACTCTGTTTAAGTTGGTTTAAACTTGGCTTAATAAGAGAATTTCCCACTGTTTCCTTTGTCCAGTCATCCACCAGCTTATGTAAGTCATCTGTGAACATCCCTTTTTTACTGGCTGGAGATTGCTGGCACGATGCTCTATTACTCTCTACACATAGTGGATCTATAAGATAAAACAGGGAAACCATGTAAAGGGTGATTGATATAGATAACTTCTTTGGCCAAAAATGCACTTAACAGAACAATACGTGGAACATACCGAATAAACAGACATTTTAGTTTACCTGAGACAGTTCTGATTTAAACATGTTGTCCTGCAGTAATTCACTAACAATATCCCTTTTCACTCTCCAAAATTTCTTATTGTTTGGATCCTGAATTAGAAGATTATCTTAAGTGTACTTCAAGTATAATAAAAAGAATCTCCTTTAAACTTTAATCTTTTTATCAACTTCCTCAGGTAGAAGAGTTAAAAAAGAATCACAGAGCTAGGAGTATAACTCAGTGGGAGAATGCTTGCTAACATGTGCCAGACCCTGATTTCAACCCATTGAATAGGGGAAGGGTTGAAGAGGAGAAGGAGGAGAATCACATAACATTAAAAAATGAACCTTGACAGGTACAGTGGCACACACCTATAATTCCAGCAGCTAAGGAGACCGAGACAGGAGGATCACGAATTCAAAGCCAGCCTCAGCAACACTGAGGCAGTAAGCAACTCGGTGAGACCCTTTCTCTAAATAAAATACAAAATAGGGCTGGGGATATGGCTCAGTGGTAGAGTGCCCCTGATATCAATCCCTAGTACCCCCCACCCCAAATAAAAAAAAAAATTTAAAAAGTAACCTTAAGAGCTGGGGATATAGCTCAGTGGTAGAGTACTTGTCTGGCATGCCTCAGGCCCTGGATTAGATTCCCCGCACTATAAAACAAAAACTAAGCTGTGCATGGTGGCACATGCCCTATGATCCAATCCCACTTGCTCAGGAGGGTGAGGAAGGAAGATAGCAAGTGGGTATGTATATCAGTGGTAAAGCACCCTGGGTTCACTCCTCATTACCAGGAAAAAAAATTAAGGAACCTTAAATGTACAGCCAAAGCAACTTGTTTTATAATGGGGAAAATAGACCCTGATGAAGTTAAGTGAAAAGCCTAAGTTTTTCCAAGCAATACCCAGCAGAGATAGGCCTTGGAACTCTAAAGCCTGGGAAAGAAAAATAGATCTTTTCAATATACCATACTGACTTTCAACAAGCTTTAGAAAACTAGAATCACATTTCATTTTTGCCAATATTTCTGTTTATGATTAAAATTTTAAAAGAATATGTAGAATAGCAGAAACGAGGACAAAGATATTTTAATGAACTACATCAGTTCTGGAGTATAAGATGTTCAAATAAATGAAATAAATCAATTACATATGACTGCATCAGTGCAGTTTCCTAATGTGAACATCACACTAAGTCTTCATAATTTAGTAATATTATTCATGCTTACTAAATCATCTTCATAGAAAAGATTCATAGAGTTCCAACTGCTTTGAGTGATTTGCAAGCTAATGGCTTATAGATTGAGTCCAAAATCAATTTTAAGAAGTTGAGAAATTTCAGGGCAATAATATTTCTAGGTCCAGGCCCAGTGGTGCACACCTATAATCCCAGAGACTCAGAAGGCTGAGGCAGGAGGATTGCAAGTTTAAGGCCATACTCAGCAACCTAGCAAGACCTTTCCTCAAAAACTTAGTGATGCTATATCGTGTACAGCCAGAGAAATGAAAAGTTGTGCTGCAATTGTGTACAATGATCAAAATGCATTTTATTGTCAATGCAGATTGACTAATTACTAGTTAAAAAGACAAAAATATAACACTGGGTCTGGTATGGAAAGGTCACCAAGATAAATTGATAAGTGAAAGAAAGTGTGGAGTAGTGCATATTGTATATCATTTTTGTTTTTTGAAAACAGAAAATAAAATTGGGCTGGGCCTGCAGCTCAGTGGCAGAGCGCTTACCTAGCATGCATGAGGCACTGGGTTCAACCCGAGCACCACATAAAAATAAACAAATAAAATAAAGGCATTCTGTCCATCTACAACTACAAATTAAAATAAAAACATAATAGTTGAAAAAATTTAAAAAGGGGTGGAGATGGAGCACAGCAGTTAAGTGCACCTGGGTTCAATCCCCAGTACCAAATGAATGAAATGAATAAATGAATGAATGAATGAATGAATGAATGAATGAATGAGACAACCATGGGTTTAATTAAGCAAGCACATGAGCATTTCCTACACATTTGTTATGATCTTTTTTTTCTTAAAAAATTTTAAGACCATTCCTGTACTAAAAGAAAATACAATATAGGAATTCTTCCCATATACAACTAGATTGGCTGTCAGTGATAGCTACTGCACTTGGAGCACAGTAGCCAACATGTATAGGAAAAACTAATAAATCAAAACAAGTATTTAAGTGGAAAGAGCTGGGGTAATACCACTCCTAAATAGACAACTGAAATCTCTATACATACATCTGCAAACACACACACGCACATACACACACACTAAGAACCATTATTATATAAGAAAAAAATTCTATCTGAAAGTTATTTGGTGTCTAGCTATGCTTTCCATATGGTAGGAACATTTATTTATTGATTTTACAATTCATATCATACTATAAAAGACCACTTAAACTTTAAAAGCCAGGAAATACCTGATCAATGCACAGTAAAACAAGTTTTCTGCAAATAGTTTATGGTAGGTGGTAGCAACATTACTTATGAACTCCAAAGGTACTCTTTAATATTCATTTCTTATTGATGAAATGAATAAAACAAGAGTTCAGTCTTTGTTGCTTTTTTTAAGAACTTCTCCTAAGACAATGCCTATACTCAGATAGTTTTGATGATTATTAACCTACTGCAGATGTTTCTATTTCTAATCTGAAACCCGGATTTTTCTCTGCAATCCCAAGCTCACACCCAACTCCTACCTGGAATTTAAGGAATAATTCAATATACCTAGAATCAAAATTCTCATGGTCCTGGATATGATACTTCACCAATATGTCATATTTCTGTTAAAGATACCAAATTTTCTTCAAATAACCCAGACAGAGATCCTTTGGATCTCCTAAACACCCACACACATATCTACTTCACCACTACAGTATAGCAATTCATCCTATATAACATCTCTTCTAGTTTCATTTCCATAATTCTCTAAACTCTTAATCATTTCATGTATGTTGTACTATGATTACAATGATGTAAATGAACTAACTTCCTGGTTCTAGTCAATATATTCTTCACACTGCCACCAGATTAGCATTAGTTAAATGTGGTTTTCAGTATTCTACTTGTATGCTCGGGGGTGGGGGGAACAGTACCTTTATGCTAACAGTGGTTCTCAAATTGTGTACATGGCAATGTCCTTTGGAAATCATGCTTGACTTTTTGAACAAATATATTATTCCATTTTTTTAATTTCTTCTTCTTCTTCTTTGGCTGTGCTGGGTTGAACCCAGGTCCTCAAGCTTGCTAAGCAAGTGCTGTACCACTGAGCCACGTTCCCAGACCCTATCATTTATTATTCTTAAATAAATACATCTCACTTATTAAATTTAAATATATAATTTTATGTTAAATCAGACAAATTATCTTATTACCAAACACTAGAATGGACATATAGTGGCAGCTGTCAAAGTTCTTTATTTTTAAATATGGAAGAAAACCTGTCTAGTGTCAACACTCCATTTTGCCCAATATAGTCTTTCTCCCAAATAAATCTTGTATTTTATCATTTGCATGCCTTAATAGCATGCAGATTTACCTACTCAAAATATTCTTTCCTAATCCACTTAATTTAAAAAAATATTTATTTTTTAGTTGTAGTTGGACACAATACCTTCATTTTATTTATTTATTTTTATGTGGTGCTGAGGATTAAACCCAGGGCCTCACACATGCTAGGTGAGTGCTCTACCATTGAGCCACAACCCCAGCCCTTACGCCACTTAATTTTAATCCTGACCATTTATCCTTAAGATCAACCCATATCCTACCCTCCTGCATGAAATATTCTCAGACCACTATCACCCTTGATAATTCACTCCTCCCAACCCACTACAGATACAAATTTTTTAAAAAAATTATAGGTGCATAATAATTATACAGTATAGTGGGTTTCACTATGGTATATTCAAACATGCACATAACATAAGTTGATCAAATTCTTTCCCCAGTATCTCCCCTTGTTCTTCCTTCCTCCCCTTGATCTCTTTGATCTATGCTATCAGTCTTCCTTCTATTTTCATAAGATTATTTTCCCCCCTTTTGTTCTATTTTCTTTTTTTTTTTTTGAGGGTGGTGATGTGGTACTAGGGACTGAACTCAGGGGCACTTGGCCACTGAGCCACATCTCCAGCCCGATTTTATGTTTTATTTAGAGACAGAATCTCACTGAGTTGCTTAGCACCTCGCTGTTGCTGAGGCTGGCTTTGAATTTAAGTTTCTCCTGTTTCAGCCTCCTAAGCTGCTGGGATTACAGGCATGCACCACCATGCCCAGCTGTTCTATTTTCTACATAGGATAGAAAACATACGAATCTTAACTTTTTGAATCTGGTTTATTTCGCTTAACAAGATGCTCTCCAGTCCCATAAATTTTCCTGCAAATGACATAACTTTGTTCTTAAGGATGAATAAAACTCAATTGTGTATATATACCACATTTTTTCATCCATTCTTCTGTTGACACTTAGCCTGGTTCCACAACTTGACTATCACTGCAGATGCAATTTGTGGTATAAGGATTCAATGCAGTATGTAGTAAAAAGCTAAGACTTTGGAGTCACACAGGTTTGGATTCTCTCGTATATTAAGTAAGATCCTAGGGAAGTTGCTTAACCTCACTAATCTTAGTCTCCATATCAATAAGAGAAAACATTGATAGCTACCCACCTTAACAGAGGTTTTTTGAGGATTAAGATAATATATGTAATATGATTATCTTCCAGCATCCCTCTAATATTACCCACATATTCTGTGATTAAATAGAAGTTCTCACAGGTGTCAATGTATAGTTGTATTCATGGCTAAGGTTTTGTTTTCCATGAAAAGATACACAATAGGATTAGGGGTAAGACAAAAGTCTTGAGAAAAT